AGGAGGGGGAAAACATAAATATTACCTACCATCCTAATACTTGGAGATGTTTAATGTCAATATTCGGGTCTACAGCTGCATCACACCACATGTGCCCCTCCTCATCTGATCGTGGAAGCTAAGCAGGGATGGGGCTGGTTAGTATGCGTGAGGGAGACTGCTGCTGTTTGTGCAGTCTTTTCTATGGAAGCGACATTATGGGGCACTTCTAAGCTTTCGGTTAAATGATTACCAAAGGTCTGACGCTAGGCAGGGTTCTAACAGTACAAGGAAGATGATGTGTGCTGGCTCACTAGTCATTGGGAGAGTTGAGTCTCGCCCCTAACTTTCTCTCCAGTTTAGACACAGCCCTTATAGTCTGTGGAAATCAGATATTTGTTTGTTTGTTTGTTTCTCTTAAACTGTGAATTCTTAGAATGCTGAGATTTCGACTACTGTTTGATATCAGGGTAACGATGGCAGAGGTTATAACTCCTGGGATGTGTTGGTCAATTGCAGACATCAGGGTGTGGGTGGGGAGTTGTTCCTTGTGACACATAGAGGATATTTGCTTTCTCAATACTTCAGAGCTCCTAATGCATCCATATCCAGAATGCAGGAAGCTTTTCCCCAGCCCTCAGAGCTGAGCCATCGTTAAATGGCCCTGGCCTGGAAGGAAAGACTGCCTACGCATGCTTCTCTGACCGTTGCTTCCCAGCCACTAGTTTCTGGAGTGCATTCATGTTTTTCTGCCTGAAGAGACCATGCCTGAATCTGATGGTGGAGAGGATGTGGCTGGGTCCTCTCTTGTGAAACAAAGAGGCCCACTTGCCCTGGGTGCCAATAGCTGGAGAGTAGTAGGGGAGAGGGAACCATGCCACCAGAGTGTGGCTTCCTGACCCAGGGCAGGATTGAAGGTGTGGCATATCCACAACCCCAAAACAGCCTTCCATTATCTTACTCCACCTTACTCCATCCTGACCCCAGGGACCATGGGCTCATATCCTCACCAAAATCTGCCAAGTCCTCACCAGCGTCATACTGTACATGTCTCAGTCCATCTTTCCCCTCTGACCCCTCTCTCTGCATCAAAACCATCACATCGCCGCATACATTTGGCGCCAGAAACAGCCTCCTGTTGGGTTTTGCATGATAACTGGGGCTGCTCTACAAGCCATTCCTCATGCTTCAGCAACTCAAGAGTTTTGTGTTTTGCAGTTCTAGTAATTGAATGCAGAGCCTCATATGTGCTAGGCAAGCACCCTACCACTGGGCTATATCTGCAACCTCCTCCCCAACACCCACTTTTTTTTTTTTAAGAAAAAGACTCATGTAGTTCAGACTGATCTCAAACTTACTATGCCCTTGGGAGTGACCCTGAATTTCTCACCTTCCTGCCTATGTCCACACAGCGCTGAGATCACAGTATGTGCCACCATGCCCAGTTTATACCTTACTAGAGAGGAAGCTCAGAGCCTTGTGTATGCTGGGCAAGCACTCTGCCACCATCATATATTCAGGTCCATGCTTTCTATTTTAAGGCAGGGTCTCACTAAGTTATGCATGCTAGCCTTGAATTCACTTTATAGCCCAGGGTGGTCTTGAATTTTGTTGTTTGTTTTGTTTTTCAAGACAGGGTTTCTCTGTGTAATAGCTCTAGCTGTCCTGGAACTTTCTCTGTAGACCGAGCTGGCCTCAAACTCACAGAGTTCTGCCTGTTTCTGCCTCCCGAGTGTTGGGATTAAATGTGTGTGCCACCATCACCCTGCCTGAGGCCTTGAATTTTTTTTTTTTTTTTTTTTGGTTTTTACGAGACAGGGTTTATCTGTATTGTTTTGGAGGCTATCGGTCCAGCCCGGCCTCGAACTCACAGAGATCCGCCTGCCTCTGCCTCCCGAGTGCTGGGATTAAAGGCGTGCGCCACCACCGCCCGGCAGGCCTTGAATTTTTGATCCTCCTGTCTCAACCTCCAGAGTAGCTAGGGTTAGTGACACCAGTGTTAACATGTCTGGCTTCCTGTTTTTCTTTAAGTATCATTTACATACAGACTTACTTCTCAAATAGGGCTGTCCACCAGCCACACAATCACCTGAATGCTGACTAAAAATGCAGAATCTCAGGCCCGATTCCGGACCCACCTATATAGAAGCAGCATTTAAAGTAAACTTCTTAAGTCTGACATGGTAGCTCACACAAGTAATCCTTGCTACTCTGAAGGCTGAGGTGGAGTTTTGAGGCAAGCCTGAACTACATACTGAATTCTAGGCCAGCTTGGGCTACAGAGTGAGATCCTGACTCTAAAAACTGAAACATAAAATATCTTGAAAGTACTGCTCAGAGCAGTTCTAGGTTCCTAGCAGAATCGGGTGGATTCCCACAGACCGGTCCTGTCTTCACCTTTGAGCTTCCTCTATCACCAACATCCCATGCCCCAGTGACACATTTGTTACACTCCATGAACCTACTCTGACACATCATCCTCACCCAAAGTCATGGTTTAGCATTCCCTCTAGGAGGTGCACTTTCTATGGGTTTGAAATGTCTGTGATTAATAGATACAACATTACAGCATTATGCAAAACAGTTTCACTTCTCTGAAAAACCCCCTGGGCCTTTTAACACCTCCCAGGTGACAATATGCATAATTAATGTATGGCCAGTGCTGAGCTAGATAGTGTCACCTTCACCTCTAAAACCCTTTCATGCCCTCCCAGTGCACTTTGAATAACATTCAGGTTCCCGATGGTGACCTGAAAGCCCTAGGCTTGGCTCCCTTATGGTCCTGCTCTGTCCACCACTGTCCGTCTGCAGGTCCTCAGCAGATGAAAATGGTTCCCTTTCTTCAAAGTTCTCATCTCTATGTCAGTCATGTATTTAATGCTGTATCAGAGTGTCTTCTCCTTCCAGTGACTATAAATTCCATGAATGAAAAGAGCTCATAATTTGTTCCCGGAACCAATAAACATGTCTTGTACCCAGAAACTACTTGGTGTTTGTTGAATTAAATGTTTAAAAGGAATGAGCTAGACAGTTATGGTGCAGCTCAATTGGGAAAGTGCTTGCCTGGAATGCCCTCTGTTTAATCTCTAACATTGCATCAACTGGGCAAGGTGGTGCCTGTCTGGAATCCTAGTACTTAGGAGATGGAGACAGGAGGATCAAGAGTTCAAAGTAACCTTTGTTACCTAATGAGTTAGAGGACAGACAGTCCAGTCTACATGAGACTCTGCCTAAAAAGGAGGGGAGGGTGATAGTTGTGCTGATGTTTGCCACCTTGGTACTTGCCCAGAATCCTCTATTGCCATTTGCCTCCATCAGGTCTACTCCTCCAGCGACCCTGTCCCCTCCTTTCTCAGAACCCTGGCTTTGGTAGTCAGGACCTCCTTCTTTTCATATTTCTTGTGGGGTTAGTTCCAGGACTTTCACATGCAAACTTGTTTGAGGGCACGAGTCCCAGGCTCAACCGCTTCTGGGCTAAGGTGGACATTCAGAATAAGATGTTCACGGCTGGATGTCTGACTCAGTGCAGTAGAAACTGGATGCAGCTGTTAAGTGCATGGTGCTTTCCTAAATGGCTAAAAATGTATCAGCTATGCTTTGTTTCTGACTCTTTTCCTGATGCAACTGTCAAGCCTTGGTTTAAATGTTGCCTGCTTTCTCTCTCTTTTTAAGTTTTCCACTCCACCCATCAACTCCCATTTCTGGATATGTGTAGTTTCTCCAGAAGACTTGAGTTTGGGAGTGCTCCCCTAACCTCCAGACAAAGATTGTAGCTGTGTAATTGTTGGATTGCTGACGGTATATACAACTTGCTGTATGAATGGACACTTAAGTCATGGTTCTCTGGGTTCAGCAGACAGAAAATGTAAAACTGCTACTATTGCAGCAGGTGGCCTGTACACCCTGCATTCTCTTCCCTCCCCTCCCCTTGTCTCCCATGCTCTTAGATACTGTGAGCAGGATTTTAGTGAACGGCTTTACCCCAGGGCCTCCAAGGGTTCAGTTTCTGCATTGCCGTGTGGCACGCTAGCTTCCTCCTTGTTTGTGAGAAACCAGTTTATATGCTAGTCCTTAGAAAGCGGATCTTTTGTTTCCTGGCTTTAAAAAAGTCACATGGGCCAGTTACCCCTTTTTAAAGAAAGAAGGAAAGAATGAATGAATGAATGAATGAAAGGAAGGAAGGAGGGAAGGAAGGAAGGAAGAAAGGAAGGAAGGAAGGAAGGAAGGAAGGAAGGAAGGAAGGTCATGCGGGATATGGTGGATGGCAGTTCCCAAGTAAACTGTGACCTGCACAGTGTCCCCAAGCCTTCTTGATAGTGCCTGAAGTCCACCGCCTACTGAATCACCTTGGGAACAAAATACTCTTTCAAGAACACATATGAAACACATAGCCACTTAGAAATATCTTGAAAAAAAGGTTCGCACTAAATCTTAGCTGTTGGATGTCAGTGCTGACACGTTGAAAGGAACAAAGCTTAAGAAGAACCATTAAGAGAAAGATTTCATACTTAAAAGACCATATTTCTCAACTACCCAGAACACCTCAAATGGAAAAGATCGTCATTGCCGGGTTTTAGAGGTAAGCCATATTAATTAAAGACACACACTTTAGAAACCAGAATCCCAGACCAATGCTGTTGGCACATAACAAGATGTAAGTGAGTATCTAATATAGATGGAGGAGGTCACAGCTCTAAGCTGCTCTCTGGTTTTATGTAGTGTTAAAATAACACCCTCCCCACCTCTATGGTAAAATAACACCCTCCGCACCTCTATGGTAAAGTTGGAGTTCTTGATTTAACTTGGTTTCTAACTTGTTGTGTGACTCTACATGTCCTTTTACCCTCTTTGAACCAGAACTTTCTTAGCTTCAAAGTATTCCGGGAACACCCTGAAGGGTCCCTCTGGTTCACAAAGTGAGCAGAAGGGATGGCCATTATGTGAGCTGAGGGAGAAAGGCTCAGATAACAGAGTCATTGCCCTCAAAACGTGGTGGAGCTTCCTGGAAGTTCCTTCCTTACCTGAAGACATTCGAAGAAGACCAACCAGCAGCACAAAGAGATGAGCAAGTCTGAAATGTGGACTCCTGGGTCGTGGTGGATCCTGCCTCGGTTGGCAACCCATAGCTTCAGATTGAGCTTTGGATAGATGGTAAAAGCCAGGAACGTAGAGCCAAAGGGTCTGGGCACCTCCAAGTCTCACAAAACCCAGGAAACAGCAGGAGAGAAGCCTGGATGGTGCACACCAGGCAGACACTGAAGACAACTCTACTGCTCCACTGAGATGGGGGCAGAGTTCTCGATCTCTGAAGGTTTTGTTTCACAACCTGAAAAAGAAACTAGTAAGAGTCGTTCAGTTGCTTGCTGTGAGCTAAAGACTCTCCCATCTAAGATGAGTGAGAGTTCTTAATCTGAGTGGCCTCTAAATCGGGGTGTGGCCATGAGGGGAACTCAAAGGTGGAGGGGACTCTAGGGGAGGTGACTTGTCCAGGCCTGTTCCGAGAACCAGCCACAGCTGGGTGAAAGGGTTCTGTGCTTGGGGGTGTGGCTAACATGATTAGAACACAGTGCGACCCCCATTTCACAAACAACAGCAAAAAGCACACAGAGAGACCCTTCAGCACCAGCCAATCCAAGAACGCTTAAATCTTCCCGAAATACACACATACTCACAGAAACACAGAGTGACTGGCGAAAGGGGGTTTGTCCAAGGCAGTGTGTTAGTCAGGAAGCCACTTCTTGATGTATTAACAGGAAATCAGTAAGTCCTACAGGGATATCAAGCACCAGAGGGATCTAGCAGTAAAAAGGGAGGAAAGAAAAGACACACTGGGAACACTGCGTTCAGATGATGCCGTACAATGGGAAGAGGCTTGTTTATGGGTTTTTTTCCCCAGCAAAATTGAGAAATGAAAATAAATGACGTCACACCTGCAACTGGTCGGATGTGTGTATTCCCATTAGCATTTTATTGATTAGAAAAACTCGAGGTCAGCGTATAGAAATATTTGCCAGCATCTAGGAGACAGGCATGAGAATAGGCAACCACAGGGGACCCCTCTGAGGGCGAGTCACAATCCTATGTCTGTTTTAAAAGCAGTGAAGTTGGGGCTGAGGAGGTGGCTTTGTTTGTAGAATGCCTGCCTAATGTGCAGGAAGCCCTGAGTTCAATTCCTAGAGTTATTTAAACAGTGTGGTGGCACTGGAGGAGGATCAGAAGTTCCAGATCGTTCTAGCAAATCTGAAGCTTGTTTGGAATATAGGAGGTCCTGTTAAAAAAAAAAGAAAGCTCAGGTTGGTGTTAAATTGTTCTACTAAGGTATCCCATAGTGTGATAAATAGTAAATGCATTTACTTACTCGTTGAAGAAGATTCCTTTTTCTTTTGTCTTAAAAAATCAAAAGATGGGGCCAACTTAAGAGATGTTCTTGCCGTCTTTATGACTAACACAGCAGGAAGGCGGAATTTCCCCTTTTCCACTTCCCTTTACTAAAGCCTTGAGGAAGCTCCCTTACTCTTTGAGAGTAAGACTTGGGCAAGTTGCCCCAGCAGGCAGCCCTCACCACGGGGGTGGGGAGTGGGGGTGAACTAACCGTGGTGAGAGTTTGGGGTATCTAGGAAGAGGAAGAGCAAGGGGCAGCCACTGGCTCTGCCTGGACAACAGTGTGTGAGCGGTCCTGGCTGCTGCTTCTGCACTGATCTCAAGTTCTGTTCTCACACTCGGCTACTCTTTTCCTACTGGTGGTAAGACTGCTGTGGGAACAGGCTGTCTGGCTCAAGTGTAGTAGGCATTTCTGGGGGGTGTCTTCTGTCTACTAGATCACCCTAACTGCATTTGCATCTTGTGCACCCTCAAAGAGTGTGCTCCCCACAGTCACATCGGATGGTATGCTGCACTCACCACAGCTTGCGTAGCTCAATGAACACAATGAAGGAAAGTGTCAAGGGATGGAGGGAAGACGGCTCCAGTCTTTCCCACAGCTCCACAGCTTCTATCTGAAGCCAGTTTGACACCCTGGAACCCTATATATGGAATTTGGGAGGAGCCACAGACAAGCAGCCAGCCATGCCGGACAGTGTATCTCTCTGCACACGTAGATCCGAGCAGACCCTTGACTGAGCCTACAGTTTTCACAATTGTCTTCTGACCCACCTAGACCTCCCCGGTTGCCTCGACATGGAATACCCTTGGGAGTTCTGTACTCCAGCATGCAGAACCTTAATTGTGGGGAAGTGGGTGTCTGTGGGTCTACCCTTGACCAAAGGAGCCTAGAATAGTCAGGTAGCTGCTTCCCACTTTGTCTCCCAGTTGACGGTTCTTAAAGACCTTACAGGGCTCCCAGCAGGTCCTGGGGGATGCAATAACCACTGTCTTTACTAGCCATCAATTTGGCAAGTCTTTTTGCAGTAAATCTCATCTCTCTCTTTACTCTCTATCCATTCAAGTTTCATACTTTTAATCAGGTCTTTGTCTCTAGCATTGCTTCACAGAGAACCCAGAATAAGACAGCAGGAGTCAGAGTATGTTAGAGGCACACGGTTTTCCTTCTAAAGTAGGGGAAATTTATGGGGGGTGGGGAAGAAAATGATAGTATCTGTGGTGCATGAGTGTGGCTACATGGCTAAAATACTGACTTAATGTTGCTAAGAAACAAGTTTTTCTGACCAAAAAAAAAATCACAATTGAAGTTGCTATCTATCTATCCTCTTTTTCAGTGTTACTGAAGGCACTGTAGTTCATTTAACTAAAAGACTGATTGAGAAGCATGACCAGGGGCTGAGATCTACGGGTTTTTCTAGGAAAGAAGCAATGGGGATCAGACAAAGGGAAGAGGTGGGAATAGGGGCTTTGCCATGTCAAAACTGCCCTTACACTGCCAAGCCCAGGCTGTGCTTGCACTGGCAGGCTGAAGGGACCTGATAGGTCCACCTCCCAAGCATCGTTCCTGCTGGTACCCTGTAAGGCATACATACACACCTCCTGGCCAGAAGACTTAGCAGGAGGACAAGGGCAGGGTCTTCTAACTTCCAACACAGTATCCCTGTGGGCATCCTTTTCTAAAAGTGTAGCCCTGGTAATTTTAAGAAAATCAACTTCCAGATTTTTACTTCTTTGTATATTCTTTCTAAAAATTTACCTGTGGTGAGAGGATTTGGGCCTTGGCCCTATTTAAAAAGAAGCATATTTCACCCAATCTGAATCTTATTGGTGTGGGGATATTCTGGAGGCTTCTTTCTGGGACCTCTTGCTGGCCCTAGAACTGACTGGTCCCTGGCTGCAGGACTTCAGGCACTAAGAGTCACATCAGGCTGTAACCCCCAGATGAATATGCCATTCTTTTGGCTTTTTGATTTCATTTTCTCTGAGAAGGGGACAATGATCAGGTGGTAGGAAAAGTCAAAGAAGGTGTGTTCTGGGGACAGGACAGTGTGGTTACAGTGACTATGAGTTTAAATTGCTGGAGAGTGCAGAGCCTGTTTTAGTAGGGTGTTTAGCTCAAGCTGGCTGTTTGCTCCTTCCTAAAATGTAGCAAGTACTCACTCTCCTCACTCCCTCCTCCCATCACCCTTTCTTGTGGATTTTTCCTGAAAAGTGAACCAGACAGTTGCCTTTTTATTTTGTATCCAGGACATAATATCAACATAATATTATAAATATGATCTTGAACAAAAGGTCATGGTTTCCAGATTTCGTTAAAAAAGGGAAACTTAATTCTGTTCATAAAACTAAAGAGAAATTTCATGACTTAAATGAAAAGTGGAATTTCCCTTGCACTAATTCTTTCTAGGGAGGACATGATTCTAAAATTTATGTGCATGATTATTTATTTTTAATAATATCATTAAAATATACTAAAAAGCCACCAGACATGGTGTCACATGCTTTTAATCCCAGCACTTGGGAGGCAGAGGCAGGCAAATCTTTGAGTTTGAGGCTAGCTGGGTCTACAGAGTGACTTCTGGGATAGCCAGGGCTACACAGAGAAATCCTGTCTTGAAAAACAAAAACAAAACAAACAAACAAATCCAAACAACAACAGCAACACACACAGTAAAAAAAAACTACAAATATATAAAATATACAGTTGGAGACACACACAAGCCATCACCAATGGAGACAGTGAACACCTGTATGTCACCCTTAGTATCTCCATGGGTTCTGAAATTGCTCCCCCTCCCCCTCTTCGTCTTCCTCTGTTGAGTTCTTTGCACATTTAGAGCTGTGTATCAATATAATTACACAGAATGTTCTTTTTGTCTGCTGCCCCAGCAGAATATTTTAAGCATAGCTAGTGAGGGCAGATACAGACAGTTTGAATTTGGGAAAGGGTTTGCCCACCGGAAGGCTCCTCAGGAGATTGGGGTTCATTCTGCTGATGACCCTCAGATGGCATGTCTCCTGAGCCTCTAATTTCCTTTGGGGTTTAGTTGAGTAGCTCCTCGGATGCCCAGTTGGTTCTCTAAAGGTGCCCCATCCTAAGCTGCAGGAATTCCCTTCACAGAGCAGTTTTAGGCTGGAGTGTGACCCAGCAGTGAGGAACTGACACCTCTGAGGGTGGAGGGGCAGATTCTAAAGAGGGGACAACTAAATGTCTCCTGCTAGAACTTCTTTACCGAGTCCAGGAAACGGCAATGGGAGCGGACTAACCGTGGCTGGTCCAGGCTGACCAGTGAAAGCAGTTGGGCACAGGGGGCATGGAAGAAAACTCGCTCTGACAAAGCACCCGTGGTTTTAGTTGTTTTTCTGTTTTTGTTTCCCCCTGAAGGCTGCTGCATTTTCATCTACTGACAGTAGATGGTGGCCAGTGAAGTCCCTTAGTGTGTGACTGTGGCTGGAGCATGGAAAGCCTTTGAAAGTTCGGGAAATGGGTTTGGGGAGCCAGGCATGCTTCCCTTCCTGCGGGAAACCCAGCGAAAGTAAGAAGGCAGCAGTAGAGGCCACTTGCTGGAACTCACCAGAGAAGATTTCAAAATGTACTGTCAGGTCTCTACCAAAGGTTGGGAAGCCCTGGTCTGTGGAAACATGCCACTGCAGCCAGGGCGGGGGGGGCAGACCGGGGCAGCAATAAGGACTTCCCCAGCAGTGGTCTTTCTGTTCTGCTTGGAAGGGTGAAGCTTTCCCTAACATTCAGATACCAGTTCATCAAGTGTCATTGCTACCAAGCCTTCCTGTCTGTTTACTCCCAGGAATTACTGTCTGCTTCTTAAGACGATGGTGCATGTCTAAGCTTTTTTTAGTACATACATACATACATACATATATGTTTTTCTTCAAATCTTCAAATACAACTTTTACATGGTCACAAAAGGGATGCTTAAGCTTAGTAGGGGAAACATAGACTACTTAACAATCAGGCTTTGTGCCTTTGATGTAATCGTGTTTAGCTGCAAGCCATTTCATGTCTTTTTTTCTAAGTGGCAGCATGGGGAATGGAAGGACTAACCCTGGGTTCCAGGCCTGGTTCTTTTTGTGTAACTGGGCCACCCAAACTCTGAAGAGCTCTCCTCTGCCTGGGTTTCCTTGTTGAGATATGTTGAGAAAACACTCCCATGGAACTAACATCTGATGACTTAAACCATTCTTAGGGACATGTGCATTCTACTTTTTTCCATAGCTTTGAGGCAGAGCCTCCTTCTGTTCTCCAGGATTGCTTTGCAACATAGCTGGTATTGTACTTCTGCCTGATTTAGCTTTTCAAATGCTGGGATTACGGGCAGAAGTCACCACATCTGACTGTATTCTGCTCTATTATTTTTTAATTTTCATTTGAGACCATGCAGCTAGGCTTGTCTGGAACTCACTATTTAGACAAGGTTGGCCTGGAACTTGTTACTTAGACCAGGCTAGCCTCACAGAGATCTGTCTGTCTCTGTCTCCAGAGTGCTGGGATTAAAAATATGTACCACCATATCTGGTGTATTCTTTTTTTAAAAACTTTTTATTGATTCCTTGTGGATTTTACATTATGTATCCAGACCCCACTTATCTTACCTTAAACTTGCATCTGCCCTCTGCCCTTGAAACCTCTCCTCCAAAACAAAACAAATTTATAAAAAACAGCCAAAACCAAAACCAAACCAAACCAAATTCCTAAGGGTTCCCCAGGGATGGTGCCCAGAGAGCCTACTTTCCTCGGTGAGCCGTTCTTCTAGTCTTTCCCCAAGTCTTCTTTAGGATTTGCAGTCTTACATACGGTGTGTTTAGAATGTCTTGGTAAATGAAGAAAGGAGGAAGAAGCCTAATGCTATACATAGTCCTACAACTCAGGGCCTGGTTAGGCCCCGCAACTGTGCATCCTTCAGGGGGGAAATGCTAAACTAGACCTGTGACTTTGCTTTTATTTTCCTTTCTATTCTGAGACATAGCCTCCTTATACAGTCCAGGCTGGCCTCAAACCCAAGATCCTCTTGGCTCAGCTTCTCCAATCCCACGTTACAGGATTGTTACCATGCCCAGCTGGTTTTGTTTCATCCTTTTCTTTTTAAATGGATTTCCCTGTACTCAAGCAACTGTGTGTGTGTGTGTGTGTGTGTGTGTGTGTGTGTGTGCTGTGTGGTTTCTTTCTGTGCTTGTAGTAATTTTATTTGCTTACCTAACAGTCTTCAAAGATCAGCTTAGGTCTAATTTTCTCTATATACCTTCTCTGAGTATAATGATTGACCCAAAAATGTTTCTGTCTTACATTCAGCAACCCGAACCTCAAATGGTCTTCTTTGTCGTGTTCCTTGCAGCCTAATGCTATTCTAGTCCATTAGACACATCTTCTATTAGTCTGGTTATCATCTGACCTCTCTACTTAGCAAAGTTTGGCATATTTAGATACTGTATTAGTCAAGGAACCAGAACACACACAGACACAGACACAGACACACACACACACACACACACAGACAGACAGACACACACACACAAACACACACACACGGGGGGGCACATACAGAGTGGGTGGGGGAGAGGAAAGAGATACCCACTTTAAGAACCTGATTTATTAACCACAACACTTGGGCAGTCAAGGCAGGTAGAGCTCTGTTAGTTTGAGACCAACTTGTTCTACACAGTGAGTTCTAGGCCAGACAGGGTTACCCTAGGTTTCTACATTATAAGGTTTGGTGAGCTCAAAGTCTGCAGGGTAGGCTACCAGCCTGGAGGCCCTGAGAAGGAGCCAACCGTCCTAAGGCAGTCAGCAAGCAGAATCCTTTTTCCTACTGGAGGGGAGTCCCTCTTCTTAAGATCTTTATCTAGGCCTATCTGCAATTATGCGCACCCACATTATGGAGGATAATCTACTCTACTCAGTGTTCACTGATATAAAGGCTAATCTCAGCTTTAAAACACTTTCCATCTGGAGAATGATTTGAACTACTAACTGGGTGCTGTGGTCCAGCCAAGATGTCATAAAATGAGCTGCCCAGATAGCTTCTCAGTCTTCTTGAAAGGACCACATAGCCGCTGCTTTTGGATTTCCCCGTCTTTGTCCCCAGCTTTTCTGTTTTGATACTTCTCTACCTTAACTGATTTTGGTGAATTTACACAGGGTCCCAGCCTGTGCTTTGTTTTCCTTTGACCCTTGCTGCTGCTTTGCTGTTAATCTCTGCTAGGGAGCCCAACCTGCCCTTGCATATTAACTGCTTCCTGTTAGTACACATTTTCTAAACCTTTAGCTGTTACTCTACAAACAGGCACTTATGACACATTCAGGCCTAGGTAGCGTCAAGGCTTTGTGTAACTGTCCTGTTTTCTGATCATCAGTGAGTCTGTTCTCTTAAAACAGTTTTAATCATCAAGTGGAGGGAGAGCAACTGGGTACTAGGGTCTCATACCTTTATTGTATCGAACTAGAAGTAAGCTTATCCCGGAAGCATTAATGTGTGTGAACGTTCGGAGTCCTGTTCGTAGACAGATGATAAAGTCGATTTTTAAAGAAAGGATATAAAATTCTATTTACAAAAGGACCCTGTTATTGTTTTAAGAGCATGTGCATAACATAAAGACTGTAAGTATATATAACCAGAGTGGTAGCCTGTGGCTTGTTTTTTTTTTTCCTAGAATCTCTGTATATGTAACACAGAAAAATATTCTAAAAGATGTAAGCCAGGTGTAGGACTACAAAACTGAAATTCCAGCGTTCTAAAGGTGGAGACAGGAGGATCATGAGTTTGAGACCAGCCTGGGCTATAGTGAAACCCTGTCTCAAAAAACAAAACAAAACCACCAAAATTTAAAATTTCTTTCATCTCCCTTCTCAGAAAACTCCTTGTTCTCCCTCTGGGAGGCACTTGTAATTATTTACAATTGATGCTTACCTTTCCAAGCAGCCCGCTCCCCCTCCAATGCTTTATTAACATATACTCATCATCCTAAAACTTGACCTATTTTGGCTTAATAAAAATGTTGCAAACTCCACACGACTGTCTCCTTTATTATTATTTTTTGATTAACGGAAGATTTATTTGTGCAAGAACAGTCATTGCCAAAGTTAATAGAAGAGGTTAACTATTCGATCCAATTTTCCTTCCCAAGTAAGTCTGCCTGTTTTGAAAACCTGTCAGAAGATAGGCCCAATTCCCAGCACAGCTCCTAAAAGTGAATTCCTGGAAGTAAGTCTGAAATTAGGATAGACAGCTGTTGATCTTGCTTAGGTCCAACAAATCAAAGCATGTGCGTTTGGAGTCGTTGTACTGAAGCAGACATTCGGGTTTAAGCCGGCCCTGATGCTCTAAGCGCTCGACCTGAGCATTTTGGACCTCAGGGGACAAATCTGGGCTGGGTCTAGGGTACTGGGGAGAGTGGTCAGGAGCGCAAGCTTATACTTGGAACCAGACATCTTGGCTCAACACGTCCTTCGCTACCTTAGGGTATTAATAATTCCAGAGTCATAATTTAGGGGCGAGAAACTAATAGTTTCCGTTAGAATCACTTGCGTGAAGAGCATGCAGAGCCGCGGCCAAACAAACTAGAGCTACAACGGACGAGGCTTCACCACCCTAGGAGATGGGTACCACCATCAGGCCGTCTTACAGCGAGGGCCAGAACCCGACAGGGAGCATGCCCGGCTCGCCCCCCGCACTCCCCCCCTTCCCCCGCATTGGCGGACGAACCGCGCAGAGAGGCTAGAAAGCCGCCCCTTCCGCCCGCGCTTCCCAGCGGTCTGGGCTCGGTGATAGTCACTCCTTCCGCACGGTGCTGATGCTGGGGAGGACGCGGCCCCGCCGGAAGCTGCTCTGCGTCAGCCACTCACTAACCACGGAGCCCCGCTTCCGGCTCCGCCCCTGTTCGCCTGGGGGCTCGCACAACGGACACGAGGCTCCTGTGTCTGCTACCCCTCCTCCCGCTCGAATCGCAGGGGCTCTCCGGACCCCAGTCTCAGCAGGTACAGCTAGACTTCCAGTACCAGTCTCCTCCTGTTGACCTTGTACCCTCTCAGCCCGGACTCTCACCTCCAGAGTGGTGCTAGGCCCTAAAATTGGCCAAGACTTTCCATAGTGCATCGCCGCCGCCTTCCCTTCCCCCCTCTTTTTTTCCTATTCGTCCTTCCACCCAGACAAGGAAAACAAAGGCTAGTCCGGAAGTGGACTTCAGTTTTAATTATATAGTTAGATTGCTATGGGATCTGTAGAAGTGTAGAGTGGGTTACGGAATAATGACTTCTTGAGGCTAGGGCTGGGCCAATGTGGATGCATGACCCAGGGTGGAAAGGAATTTCAAAGAGAAAAGATGGTGGGCTGCCCACACACGGGGGTAGGGCCATAGACAGCTGCAGAAAGGGAGCCTTGAGCATTGGGAGGGAAAGGTGTGGGTGTTAGTCCTCAGTTCTCAGAGGATAACAAAGCTTGGGCTTCGAAAACCTGGGCCAAGACAGTCCCTCGGAGAACATTTACAATCTACATCCTCCTCCCCCACAGATGGGAAACAATTCCAGAGCGAATGCCTGTTTATTATGGCCACACAACTAATTCCAGGGAGTACAGAGCTCTAGTTCCTAGGCTTTTTTTATACATGAGAAAATATACCGTGATTAGGAGCTGTTTATTGCAGTGCTCAGTCTGTCTTTATCCCTTACTGCTTCTCCAGGTCTCTGCGGGCCTACACCCTAGTCCTGAGCAGTGTGGCTCCATGGAGGACTGTGGAAGTGCCTGGACGTGAACTAGCCCTAAACTAGCATTTAGGTAAGTGAAGGGAAAGAAGAGCAGTTGGGTGTGGGGAGAGCGTGAGCCAAGGGCAGGGGTGAGCTAGCCCCTTTGGCCCTGAGATTATTTGCCCCCGTTCATGGGGTAGATGGATAGATGGAGTGGGCAGACATTGGAGCACTTTGAATCTGTGCATCATAGGGAATGGGTGCAGTGGGGAACTGGCCTAAGGCAGAGAAGGGTCTTAAATGCATACAAAAGGAAGCCAGTGCTTTAGCAAGGATCTAATTTATGGTGGGAATATCCATTTGCGATCGGGTACCATGGAACTTTTACCATATAGAAGACAGACGGGCTGGAGAGATGGCTCAGCAGTTAAGAGCACTGGCTGCTCTTCCGGAGGACTCAGGTTCAATTCCCAGCACCCACATGGCAGCTCACAATACATATAAGTCCAGTTGTAGGGGATCCAACATGCTCACACAGACACACATGCAGACGAAAACCAGAGCACATGAAATTAAAGTAAACCTAAATATTTTTAAATATTGCTGGTAAAGAGTATGGGCAAAGTATTCTAGTTTAATTATAGAACTTGTTGTTAATAATAATCCCAAAGTTGTGCTCACTATGCACTTTATGGTAACTCACTCATTCCTTATAACACATCTGGGAGGTTGTTGGTTTTTTGTTTTTGTTTTTTTGTTTTTAGAGACAGGGTATCTTTGTATTGTTTTGGAGCCCGTCCTGGAACTCGCTTGGTAGACCAGGCTTGGTCTCGAACTCACAGAGATCAGCCTGCCTCTGCCTCCCGAGTGCTGGGATTAAAGGCGTGCGCCATCAATCACCTGGCTTAACAATAACCATTTTAAAGTGAACAGTTTTGTTGTTGTTATTATTTTACATGAGCCATCAAGAAGTCGCCCAAGGTTAAGGTCAGGGATGAGCCCGTTTAATGTAAAATGAAGCATTCTGGCAGGGAACTAGAAGACTGGGGTCTGGCTGTGAGCTTCTGTTTCTTCATCTGTGAACGCTTAACCTGCAATAAGTGTCACTGTCTACATAAAGGAGAGATGCACTTCCAAGCCACATGTCACCTAAAGGAGAAAACCACAGGCCTGGGTTGACTTGTGAGACTTAGTGGGCGCACCACTACCCGAGACACAGAGACAAGGCTTAGGAGTCGGTTCTGGGCTAGAGTCCCACCCCTGCCGCTGTTAGCTCTGTGGCCTGAGTCCGCTCTCTTAATATTTACGAAACTGCATTATCTCCACAACACTTGATTTACTCCTGCTCAAGATGCAGCTAGTATCCAATCTCATTGATTAAGTGGGATGTAATCACAGGAAAAATGCTCAATAAAATACAGATTTTTAATTAATTAATTTATTTTTTCTGATTCTTCCTTCTCTGTCCTCCTGCAGGTGTCTTAGTTGTCCCCCAAGACTGCCTGTGGCAAGTTCAGCATGGGTGGGGGTCTGATTGAGAGGTATGTGGCTGCCATGGTGCTGAGTGCAGCTGGAGATGCCTTGGGGTACTTCAACGGGAAGTGGGAGTTCCTTCGGGAGGGGGAGAAGATACACCAGCAGTTGGCCCAGATGGGTGACTTGGAAGCCATAGACGTGGCTGAGTGGAGAGTCAGTGATGACACTGTCATGCACCTGGCTACAGCAGAGGCACTTGTGGAAGCTGGCGAATCCCTGAACTTGACTCAACTGTACTCTCTGTTAGCTAAACATTACCAGGACTGCATGGGAGACATGGATGGCCGGGCGCCAGGTGAGTGCAGCTGGGAGGAGGCTCCTGAGGACAGGGAAGGCACTGAGAAGGTTGATGGGGGCTGGGGGCAAGTCCTCCACCTAGGAGGACTTGGATTTTAAAATCAGCCTGAGCTCCATAGTGAGAGTCTGCTTCAGAGAATCAAACGGAGAAAAAGTTGTGGGCATTTAAATACCAACGAAACGACAGTGTAGATTTAAATTCTTGTAACTTATTTATGGTGGCACATTCAGGGCTTTGTAAATTCTGCAGATGAATAATTACTGATTTGGAAAGGCTTTATCCATGAAATAGAAAAACAAGTAGGTTTCAGAACAGTGTTTAATGGAAATAACTTGGCTAAAGTATAAAAGGGTGCCAGGCGTGGTGGCACATACACTTGAGAGGCAGAAGCAGGGAGGTCAGGAGTATGGGGTGATGGGGGAAGTGCTGGACTTATGGCCCAGCAGGCAAGAACACCAGCTGAGCAAGCATGAGGACCTGAGTTCAAATCCCCAGCACCCACATAAAAAAATCATGTGTGACCCCTGTGCAAAATGAGACAGACAGGAAGATCACTTGCTGGCCTAGCTCTAGGCCCTGCACCAAGGGTCTTAGAAAGAGATAGGACACTGGGTAACCTCTGGCCTCTGAATGCACATAGATGTTTGTGCCAACACCACACAGAGAGAACAATTGCGTATCCCCACTGAGAAGTCCAGAAGCATATACATAAGTATGGTCATAATTCTACCTGAGTTATAGAAGTAGATATTATTTGTTATTTTCCTTCCAACATTTTGTTACGAACAATTACAAAGAAAACTGTTTATTTTTCTAATTTAAAAAAAAAGAGACTCTTGGTTCCAGTTCTGCTCACAGTGGCTCTCACCCACTTTGGGAATTTTGTGTGGCCCCCTAGGGACCACCAGGTTTAGGTCACCTTTTCCCTGACCAGCCACTCTTCCTGTAAGAGTCTGTCAAGGGAACTGTCATCATAAAATGTTATAGACTAGGGACCTTAAAAAATAGACATTTTGATCTCAGCACTTGGGAGGTAGAGACAGGTGGATCTCTGTGATTTTGAGGCCAACTTGGTCTACAGAGAGAGTTCCAAGACAGCCAGGATTGTTATATAGGAAACCTTGTTTTGGAAAACCAAAACAACAACAAAACCCAAACATTTCGTGATTCTGGCTACTAGAAGCCTAAGCCACACAGCGTTAAGTTTGGTTTGTTTTTGGAGGTGCTTTTCTTGGCTTGCAGATGGACACCATCTCTGGTCCTCATGTGATCTTTCTCTGTGCATTGTCTGTGTGTTTGTATGCTTCTTGTTAGATTGGATTAGCTTCACGCTAATGGCTCTTTAGCTTAAACACCTTTGAAAGACCCTACCTCCAAATTAAATTAAGCCACTGGGCATTACAGTTTCTACATATGTATTCGGACTTAAGCATATGAATACCCTTCCACCATAACTCCTGATTGAAGAATTCCTCACCATCAGATTCAGGACCCCTCCTAATCCAAGGACTAGATTTAAAAGTCCATCTCTGTTTATCTTTTCTTAGCATCTGCTGTCCACTCGGTTTTGACATGTGGTTTTATTTGCCTACACGTGTCAGCTATGGTTATTGTGTATGAACTGCCCAGTAAGGGAGCAGGGATACTGCGTTCCAGAGCGTGCTGCTGCCATTTCTTGGCTCCTGCTGTAGCACTGCTTCCTACTACAAAAGTTCAATGGGGGAAGCCGCCTTCTACCTCTGCCATGTAGGGAACAGCCATAGTCTGTTGCTCCTGATATAAGCCCAGTGTTTCTTCTGGAACTTTGTCTTTCTGATAGTTAGGAACCCCAACAGTGTCTTACACTCACATGATGGTCCCTGAATAGCTGGTTCTGTGACCTTAAATTCCCTAAGTTTCGAGTCTGATGTTATTCATTAAAAAAAAAAACCCAAAAAACAGCAACAACAAAAAACCCAATAATACATGGTAGTAGTGCACACCTATAGTTCTAGCACTTGGGAGGCAGAAGCAGGGGAGTTACTATGAGTTTACAGCCAGCCTAGGGTACATAGAGAGTTCCAAGCCAGCCTGGTTTATGTAGAAAGCCTAACTTTCAAAAACAAATAAAAGCAAATATAGCTACCTTTTGAGGTCCTGTGAGTTCTCTAATAACTGGAGAGGTCCCGCGGCTTACTCAATTCATACACTGCTTGTTAATTCATAATGTCACACTTACGGTTAAATATAAAGAAGGCTATCTGTTGGGCTGGGGTTTGAAGTTGAGGGACCATCCCCATCATGTGTTCATGACTTTCCTTTGGTTTCAGAGAAACTTGGGAGTCTGTTTAGTTCTTTGTTCTCACTGGGTCCTTTGTTTTGGTGACTCTGACCCTATACCTGACCCACTGTAGGCGGTGCTTGTATGCAGAATGCCATGCGGCTGGAGCCTAACAAGGCCGATGGCTGGAGGATTCCCTTCAACAGTCGTGAGGGTGGCTGTGGGGCCGCCATGCGAGCCATGTGCATTGGGCTGAGGTTCCCTCACCCCAGCCAGCTGGACACGCTGATCCAAGTGAGCATTGAGAGTGGCCGGATGACCCACCACCACCCCACAGGCTACCTTGGAAGCCTTGCGTCAGCTCTTTTTACAGCGTATGCTGTGAGTGGCAAACCGCCACGGCAGTGGGGCAAAGGACTGATGGAGGTGCTGCCGGAAGCCAAGAACTACGTTGTCCAGTCAGGCTACTTTGTGAAGGAGAATCTTCAGCACTGGTGAGTGTCTGTGCACATGCACCACACACATACCTAGGGTTAAGAGGCCACAGCTGCCCTCACAGTTCCCTCCAGAGCACCTGCTAAGGATTCCCGGTTCCTACCCATCATGGTTGCCGGAAGCAGTCAAGTGGATGCCTCGGTATGTAGGTACCTGAAGGCATCTCCTAAGTGTGAGTCCTATTCTGGATTCCAGCACTTTTTCTTGGCTATTTCCCCAAGATTTGTTTTTCCAGTGTTGCTTTGAAGCAATATTTCAGAACCCTTGGTTAGAATGCCCAAGAGATAAGTTTTTCCAGGAGCTAAGTGGCAAGACTACTTCTTCCCCTTTTGATGACTTACTTCACAGTATCTTTCTTAGAAGAAAAAAACTCAGACCTCTTATTGAAGTTGCCCATGGTCGTGATGTCCCAAAGTTTCCCCTGGAAAGACAGTAAGATGTTGCTCTGGACATAGAAAACCAAATATTTATTTCCTGACTTACAGCCTTACACCTATCTTCCTTATTGAGCAACTGCATCCATACTTGGTTTCTGTGGGTAAAAAAATGTATGATGCCTTGTAAAGTTAACTTTGTTTTTTTTTCCTATGAGTTTATGACACTAGTATAAGGAGTTGAAGTCATTCTGGACTTTTCTCTATTTACTTATATCTACCTGATATTTTTCCATATAGCTTTTGACATTAGTTTTTTTAATTGATTTTCCCTCCACAGGTCCTTCTTTGAGAAAGAATGGGAACAGTACCTGGAACTTCGAGGAATTTCGGATGGCAAGTCAGCTCCTGTCTTCCCGCAGTCCTTCGGTGTGAAGGAACGTGATCAGCTCTACATCTCCCTGAGTTACTCTGGCTGGGGGGGCAGTAGTGGACACGATGCCCCCATGATTGCCTATGATGCCCTCCTTGGTGCAGGGGATTCCTGGAAGGAACTTGCGCACAGAGCCTTTTTCCACGGTGGAGACAGTGATTCCACAGCGACCATAGCTGGCTGCTGGTGGGGAGTTCTGCACGGTTTTAAAGGAGTAAACCCATGTAACTATGAGAAGCTGGAGTACAGACAGCGCCTGGAAGAGGCAGCACGGGCTCTGTATTCTCTTGGGCCTAAAGAAGATGTATTTGGCCCCTAGGGAGAGGGTGGGGTTTTTTGTTTGTTATTTTTTTTGTTGCTTCTGATGATTCCTTTCTCCATAGCTGATTCTGCTCAGTCTGTTCAACTTTTTCCGAGTCAAGAATCCTAATCTTGTGCTCAAAGAGTTTAGAGATGACAAGCTCCTTGGGCACCTCTAGCTCTGCCTTCCCACACCCTCTTCCTGTGTCCCCACACTTCCCTGCTCTCCCTGTGTTCATCTCTGCTTGAGAATCTTTTTATTTGAGTTGCTGTTCCAGAAACACCTTGTATTTGAGTCTCTGTTTTTATCATGAAATTGTTCCAGATACTTTGTCTGAGTTTTCCTTGATTGGGTCCCCCATCTACCCCAAGTAGACTCGTGCAAAGGTTTGAGTGCAAGGACTTTATTTGGGAGGCGATTCCAGGAAGTAGAACGGGGAAGTGAGACCAGGGAAGGGAGCCACACAGGGTGTGTGAATGAGCAGGAATCCCCATGGCCATTTGAGGTGCATTCTATCTGGGCCCTCTGCCCAAGACAGTCCTTAGCATTGTCCTGGTGAAAAGACAGGCCAGTTTTGAGTGTCTATCCACTGACTTTCACCTGACTGGTTAAGGCCCGTACCTAGGGATGCTGTTTACTTCCCGGGACTTCTCAACTTGCTTGCGGTGGCAAGTTATAAGGCCCGAGACCAGAGGGGCACAGTGGGGATCCTAAGAGCATCACTGTCTCATTGCTATGAAGAGACACCACCATGATCACAGCAACTAATTGGGACTCGATTACAGTTTCAGAGGTAATCCAATGCATTATTATGGCAAGAAGCCATGGTGCTGGAGAGGTTACTGAGAGTTCTACATCTGGATCTGCTGGGCCTGGTGTAGGCTTTTGAAACCTCAAAGCACTCTCCACCCCACCCTCCAACAAGGCCAAATCCTTCTAGTCTGTATGCCCTGGAAACTAAGCATTCAAATACATGAGCCTTTGGGGCCCATTCTTATTCAACCACTACAATCTGCTGGCTGTTCTACACTCAAATGCACTAAAGCACACACTAAAGCTCTGTCTCTCCATCCTTCCCTCTTTATTTTTTTGACAGGGTCTCTGTCTCTGACTCCTCAAGTTAACTGAAGATGATCTACCTGCCTTTACCTCTTGTGTATTGGGTGCTGGGGATCAAACCTAGACCTTTGTGCATGCTTGGCAAACATTCTGTGAACTGAGCTACATTCCCAGTCCTGTACTTTAAAGCTACCATCTGCTCCTCCCTCTCTCCCTCCCTCTTCTTTTTAAGACGACCGACCTTAATCAGTGTCCTGGTTGGTCTCCAGCTCACAGAGATCCACCTGCCTCTGCCTGTGCCTCCAAAGCAGCATGATAAAAGGTGTGTGCCACCAAGTCCACTCCTAAATCTACCGCTTCTTTGACATTGCGGCACTGACTTTCTCAGCTGGATTCCTGCAGTCCCCAATTGCGCTTGGTAGATGCTGCTGTTAGCTGTTCTCAGCACCTGCCTTGCCATGACCCCTAACTCATTGTGTTACTGTCTGTTTGCTTGTCTCCCTTTTCCACACAGACACTAGCACCATGGCCAGGTACAAAGCAGGCACTTTATCAGTATGGATTAAGTAGACACTGCTAAGGGGTAGCTTCCCATCCCTCACAGCTCTCCAAGTTACCCTTACAAATAGCAGGCTGACTGCATTGAACTGCTAGTTATCTTCCAATGACTCTGTTGGCCTCCTTTCTATCTTGATGATGCTTTTATGTCGTCTTCACTGCCTCTGTTCCATTTCACCCACAACCCTAATTCATCATACACTGAATCTGCTGGGAGGTGGTTGGGCATCTCTTCGGTCAGTCTCAAGGGACCACTGCCTTGCAATGGTCCAGCCACTACAGTTAAGTCCACGGTTACTTTATTCTTCCAGGAGGCCTCCTTACCTGGCTCACTGCCAAGAGTGAGAACACAAATCCGTTTCCCTCCTCGTACAACCACAAAATTCTGACTCCTGCGATTTCTGCTTCGGTTTCCTGGTGTTAACTGGGTTTGTGCAAGAGAGGTCTCGTCACACTAGTTTGTGGCTTGCCTTTCCAAGCCCTTAGGTCTCTTTAAAATGTAGGGGAGGGAGAAAATGCAGGAGATTTATGGGTGTGTTGCTGAGATCTGGGCTTTGACCACTGAGACAACAGAAGACCCTGGACATCGTATTCTCACTTCATCACAGGCACACTGGGAAATTCCAGAATTTCAGAGGCCTTTTCTCAAACCTCTTCAAACACTATGAACCGGTGACCTTGGAAGGCAGGGAAAGGGAGGGAGAGAAAGGATGAAAATGAAGAAAAAGATGATCAATTAGATGCAGTCTGTCCAAGCACATCAATAAAAGTGTCTCCAGCACGAGTCTGGAGTCTGTCATATTTATCAATTGGACACATGCCAAAACAAAGGCAGCCCTGTGCAGCAGTCCAGGACAGACAGAGCTCTCTGGTTGTGCTTCATTTGCTTTCTTTACTAAGGTTGCTAGGGGAATGGTTTCTTCTATGACCTGCACAATTTACATTGTCCTAAGTTGCGTGTCCACCAGGAACCACAGTCATCATCACCCCTCGTTCTCTGTCTCACTGGAACATGAAAATGTGCATCTTTCCTTTGTTGGCAGCTGTGGAGCTGCTGCAGGGTAGTTGTTTCCTCATAACGCTCAGCCAATCCCCAGAAGGCACCAGCTGCTTGCCCTCAAATCCTGTGCTGATGCCATCTACGCAGAGTTAGCATCAGATCCACAGGTTGAGGGCTCCAACCCACAAGACTTTCCACTTCAGTTCCCTTCACAAGTCCCAGCCTGACCTGTGTGTCTTATGACTACGAGTCAGGCCCCCACGACTTCCTTCTTCTATCTGATGAGTGCTGGGGCAGCTCGCACCACTCAGAGACACACCTTGCTTCACCAGTTTGTTATAAAGGCTACAAATGGGCAGCAGGTAGAGGAGGTGCACAGGGCACGTGAGCACAGCCCTTCGATTTCTCCCATCAGCGTGGGCTGATGTTTCCATTTGTTAAGAGAGAACAGTGCTTCCAATCCCAGCATTCCCCAGCACACCCTTCTCTATGTTGGTCAATGCTAGCAGCCCACATCAGGGGCTGATTGTGTTGTCTTCATATCAGTATTCAAACTGAAAAACATTTATTAAAGTCCAAGCTGGGCTTAGGGTCCATGCCTGTAAGCCCAGCATTCTGGAGGCAGAGGCAAGAAGATTGCATAATTTTGAGGCTAGCCTGGGCTACATAGTTAATGCAAGGTCAGCCTGATCTACATAATGAGTTCCAGGCAAGCCTAGGCTACACACTCTCAAAACAAGAGTTTATTTAAGTAAAAACTCCAAGCTCATATTAGTATAACTCGTAAGTGGAAGGAAGCGGCAGTAATCGAGATGGTGAAGCCAATAAAGGTGATTGTTGAACATACCTTGAGAAAAAAAAATCTCCACAGGATGACCTCTGCCAGAGATAGCCCAGTGCAGGAGGCATTTGAGGTTAAGGTGGGCTTCCTGGGTCCCTTAGCCTTCAATACAGGAGACCTGAGAAGATGGCCCCTTTCACTTGCTTCCGGGACATGGTGCCAGCTGTGCAGTTGACACTAAGAAGGCATGCTCTGACATTGCAGAAAACTGCCTCTGAGAGCCTTCTCTGCCCCCAGGCATGTCCGCTGGGCCTCACATCACTAGGACTAATGGAAGGCAGAGTGATGCTGCCCGCCTTGAGAGCTGCCAGGAGGTGAGGTAATGTCCCTAATAGTAGCCATATTTAGTGGATGAAAATGTAGTCACTGGTGTCTGCTTTTCAGATTAAAAACTTGCCCTGCTACTTGGTGTGGTCTTGGGAAAGTTATTTAACCCGATTCTGCCTTGATTTCCACATATGCAGAGTGAGACAGTAGCATCACCTGCCTTGTGGATTGTATGTTTGTAAGAACAAATATCTGGCATATGACAAGCACTCCAAAGAAGAGTAGCAATGTGAAGCAATGCTCTCTAAATGTTAGTGACATCTCTAATGCATCTTGTGTCTTCTTTCTGCCAGAATGCGATGAAATGGGAAATACAGGGAGATCCCTGAAAGTACCACTTCAAACCAGTTTCATCCACCACATGGGAAACGCTTTCATTCTATCTAAGGGACCCACAAGTCTTTGTTTCCTGAAGTGTCTCTTGGTTCTGCCTTGCAGTACTGCAGCCCCAAAGACAAGCCTGCAAGACTCACGATTTTCAGCTTGAGAACAAGCATTAGCCATAGAAGCATTTTAGCACCGAAGTTTCATTTCAAAGCTACAAATAGTTCTCTGCACAGCTGGAGCCTTGGAGTCATTTGTGGGCTCAGCGTCTTTCTATTCTGAGAAACCCCACCCCTCCCCTGTGACCTTTTGTCTGGACAAATGTAGCTCAGGTCTCCATCTGTTTGTTCTGGGAAAGCAGGAATATTGCTTTAAAAATGAAAATTGTGACTGGGGATGTGGTTCAATTTTACAGCTTTTGTCTAATATAAGCAGGGCTAGGGTTCACTTGTTAACACTGTCCTGGCTAAAAAAAAAAAAAAAAAAAAAACCAACCAGAAGAGGGTACAAAGGGCATACGGTGCCCTCTTTCTCTATAAGACTGTAGATTGTGTGGAGCAGTTTCTCTGTGGCCTCACTATCCCTGTTACTAACTTGCCTTAGACCAAGACAGGACTCCCTTTCTCTTCTGGAGTTATAGGAAGCAGACTTACTACCCACAGAGCAGGGAAACCACAAACCCAGGATGCATTTTCATCCAGTTCCCCAAGACTCAGGAATGTTGTCCTCAATATGTGTCCCACTTGCACAACAGCTCAGGGACTCAGAGAGCAGCCAGCCTTGGGTTGTATACACAAGAGACACATGATTCCGTGGGCTAAAACACTGCAGATCTCCTGCTTCTGGGAAAGAGGAGGCGGAAAGGCTGGACCGGGGCCCAGATTCATCTGGCCAGTTGTCTGCTTTTCCAGATGCTGTGTTCCCTGCGTGGCCTGCAATTGCTCTTGAGAACCACCAGCAAGAAAGGCGAACTGGGTCAGTTGGAGATGCCTCAACTGTCTCTGGCTGTCTCACTTACTGTGCCTTGTTCTGAAGTGTGAGTGTGTGCATCTGTACACATGCTCACATGTAGGACATACAGGGTATCAGGAGTGGAGACTCCAGTGTCATACCCTCAGCTCAATCTGGAGAGGAACTTGGGTGGGGGAGGGAATTAGGCTCCTGGGTGTTGTAGGATGGGTGCCTTTGGGGTTGGGCCCCAGAATTTTATGATGTG